ATGTATCGCCTTCAAAGTCTTTAGATTTAAAACATTTTAAATGGCAAACCTGTAAATACATTGGATATCTTATTAAAAAATAAGAAAGTAATAACAAATCCACCCATAACTGGCAGCAGGACCAACTCTTACCCTTGAGGTCGGGAGTTCGAGTCCTCTGGGAGGATACCTAGTACTTTGTCCAAACAATCCCATCTGCTGGAGGCTGCAGGAGGTTTTCTTGAGGTGCATCGCTTGCGGTGGGACGGGTCAGTATAAAAAGTTTAACCCAAACCAAGTTTTTGCCAATGACCTCTTGGCCTACTGGTTAAGAGTGAGGTGCCCTTGACATGAGGTCAAGGGTTCAAGCCTCCCGGAGCGCAATGGTGGAACAATTAACACTAAAGACTACAAGCGGCAATGTGGGAGGCTGAAACTCGATACGAACCAGCGACTCGATACGTGGGGCCAGCATGAAGTTGGGGGGGCCAGCATGAAGCAATCACTTCGGTGGGACCCTGCGACTAGATAGGTGGGGCCAACTTGGAGTTGGGAGGCCAGCGAGCAATCACTTGGGGATCGACTCCTTGTGCGCGGTAGTTGAGAGTATGAACCTGAGAGCCATTGCGTGGCTACCGAGGTTTAACTAGAGGCAGTTTCTGAGGAGCCGGGGGCTGTTTCCTCGAGGACTAGTCAGGCGCAAGCCTGGAACCTCGGTATCAAAAAAAAAAAAAAAGTAATAACAAATAATGGAGCAAGATGCATTAATACATAGGACTTAAGTTGTCAAATCCACAACACAAGCCATTTTTCTGAGCGTCTTTTGTTCAAACGACCTTGGAATGTATCATTTTAATGGTGGATAATATATGCTATGCAGTAGGCGAGCAATGAATGATACTCACTTTCGGCTCTCTTTCATGATCCAATAACTTGCTTTTCTCAAAATATAAATATAATTTACATATATACCTAACTGATTGCTCAATAATTTCATATATACTAAGCATAATTTTTATTTATTATACCATAACTTTAAATTTTATTTGCAAGTGTACCTACATTTTATCTTCTTCAATTTTCAGCTTCCATTCATCCTCGTCTCCCGCCCCCTGCCATTACCAAACTTTCCCTTTCGGTTTCAAATTTGATCATATATATATATATATATATATATGATCATTAGAAAGGAAGATGGTGAAAGAAATAAGAATGATTGTTGACCATTAGATCCACCATATCAATGGTCATGATAAAGTCAAATTTAGTAATTATAGTCAAACTCATTAAGGATAATTTAGTCATTTGATACTCATTAAGGATAATTTAGTAATTTTAAACAATTTAGTAATTTTAAACAATTAGATATTATGTGTGGACCCAACCCATCACACCTAACACATAAAATGCGTTCACACACATCCACCCTACCTCTCTCACACATATACACACACCCACACTCTCTCTCTCTCACACATATACACGCACACACCATCACAGATTCACAGTCGCAGACACACAGCTCAGTCTCATCCTTCCGGCCAGGCCCGCCGCGCCGCCTCTGCCACGGAGATGACCCACCCCAGCAGCCTCGCCACTGCCGTCCGCCATGGCCACCGGAGAGTCCGCCGTCAGCAACCGCCCAAGCTACACGCCGGCAGGCGGCATCCACTCGCGATTCAGGCCAAAACTCCCACCACCAGCCTTTCCGCGCCGCCGTCGCCACATACATGGCCACAATCAGCAATACCGAAGCTGCTGTCCGTCGTGGACACCGGAGACGTCCGCCGTTAACCACCACCCCAAGCTTCACGATGTCCTCTTGCTCACATCCACCAAATTACTGCCGGAAAAGCCAGATGGTCTCGTCGCCGCCAACACCCGCACAGCTTCTGCCATAGCCCGCCGCCGCCACCACTCTCATCATACCCCGTCGTAATGTTGAGTTTCTAGTGCTCTCTGCCATGTCCGGCGAGAGGATGTTTTCCGGCGGCCGTTCTCCGACCCTGGTTACAGGTCGGACGAGGAGGGCTGAGGGCAGAAGTGATGTTGCTGGTGGAAGATAATAGGATAAAATCTGGTTTTAAGTTGGGCATCAATTTGAGAATTTGACAACTTCAATGGACTTAATTGCAATTTTTTAAATGTTAATAAATTTCAATTTTACCCATGGGTCAAAATTGTAATTTATAAAATTTATATCAAATTTACAATAATGAAGGAAAAAAAGACAAAAAACTTAAAAATATTGTGTAATAGATGCATATTACATTTGAGACTTTAAAATTTAAAAACATATCATCGAACCGAAATATAAAATTTCGAATTAAAAGGTTTAATTCGGTCGGTTCGGTTATTTTAAAAATATTTAAAATTAGTACAAAAAAATATAAAATTCGAACCAACAATCTAATTCGGCCGTTTTTCTCGATCGATATAGTGCAATCTGATAGTAACTAAAGTGCAATCAGTCTAAAGCTAATGTGCACTATAAGTGCAGACATTATTTAATGTTTTATCCAATATTTTATACTTTTCTAGTTTTTAGAAAATTTTACAATATTTAATATTTAATACTTTTCTAGTTTTTATTGAAATAAATATAAACAAAAATATAATAATAAAAAATAATAGTATTTTTTTATGTAGTTCGGCCGTTTGATTATTTCGATTATCTATATACAAATAATATTTTTTAACATATTTTTTTTTTATCGGTTATTTGAATAAAAAAAAAGAATGTCATACCGAATTGACCGATATATAAAAAAAAATATTCGAAGCAAAATATAAAATTTCGTAGTGAATTTTTGTTCGTTGGATCTCGTTCGATTTTGTGCAACCTGATAGACATTTGTGTGCAATTCTTATAACCTTAATGTGCACTTACAATACATAAAAAATGCAAATATAAAAATATTATTAATTTTCATACAAAGATATAAATAAAAATATTGATAATATTTTTCATATAGTTCGGCATATTCGGTTATTTTGTTTATTTAAAAAAAACTAAATCCGACCTTTATCTAACAAATATTATTCGATCAATTAGCATAATTACTATAATTTTTGTAGGTGTCGCGTGTTGTTTTATAAGGTGCAACATGTTATGTTATAAAGTGCAATATAATATTGTATAAAGTGCAACATATCGATACATAAAGTGCAATACTGAAATTTTGGTACGTTAACATACTTGTATTTTTTTGTGGATAGATGATGTAATGAATATTAAAATATTAAGTATATATATAAAATGCCACTTGTTGTTTTATAAAGTGCAACATGTTGTTTTATAAAGTGCAATAAATTGATATATAAAGTGCATTAGTGTAAATTATTATTTAATCACATTAATTAAACGTATTTCATTATAAGGTAAAAAGTCCATGAGAATACATAGTTTGAAATTTTGGCACTATTCATCAAATCTACTTAAAATTATGTGGCCCAACAATAATACGTAAAATTATAATGGATATCCACGGCATAAGGGGGTGATTGGATATGAATTCAACTAGTAAAAAACTAGTTTTTTTAACTACAGTTAAATTTTAAAAAAGTAGTATGGTTAGTTGTTAGTGGATATATTAAAATAATATTTAAATTAAAATAATTAAAGTTGATTTGATGTAAAAGTAGGAGAAAATAATTGAAAGTGATAGTTAATTAAAATTATGTGAGTGAATGAATAGTGAATTAAAGTTGATGTGATGTGTAATAATGATTGGTTGATATTATTTAATTATATTGATAATATTGGAGATAGTAGAGTTGAGTTAAGATTGAGTTAAATTTGAGTTTTGAGTGAGATATTTACTATTGAAATTATATACAATCATGCCCTAAATAATTGAATATTGACTGAAAATGCAATTATTTTTTTCTAGTAAATGATACGTGTGGCCGTGGGCTACATAAATGAGGAATTATGGAGGTGGGGACCCGTTGTTCCATACCCAATTGCAAATTATCAAGTCTCTTTATTGAACTCTGTGAGAAGAACAATAAAAAATCAATTCTTGATGCTAGCAACAACATATGAAAAGCACCAAAATATTAATATAGTCATGCACCCTATTTTTTTAGAACCGCATTAAAGTGCTTTTTGGGCAATTAATGCAAAATTGCATTTAGGTCCTTGAACCTTTTCTAATTTTTTTAAAAGAAATGCCCAACTCAATTTTAGGTTTGTAGGGGATCGAGAAGGGCTGCATCTCCTCCACACGCGGTTCTCCGGCCAATTGGACGCACTCGGGGAGAGTCTCGCCGACAGTCTGCTCCAATTGCAACAGGAGCTTCTTGTTCAGGTTGGTGGAAGGTAGAGTTGGTCGCGAATGGAAGTCGCCGGAGTTGAGCGGCGCCACTGTGTTCTCAGGCGGTGGTGATCAGTGCCGGCGAACGGGAGGTCGCCGTGATGAACTCGAAGAACATGGCGTGTGCGTGTGTGTTGGGGATTCAGTGGATTGTAGTAGCTGAAATTTCAGGGAAATTATGCGGACTTGGGCGGTGGCGCTGAGTTGCAGGCGGCGGCGATCGGCGCCGGAGAATGGGTGGCCGCCATGTGTAACTCGAAGAACATGTGTGTGTGTGCTGCGGGATAGTGGTGAGCTGAATTTTTGGGAGAGCTTTGTTAATTCCAGTCGGTGATGGCGGCGTTGGCCGGCGGTTGCGGCGGTGGTTCTTTTGTGTGTGTGGGTGTATGTGTGTGTGAGAGAGAGAGAGAGATGGGAGAGAGAGAGGGGGGGAGAGACCAAGAGAGAGACGTGTT